TTGGGCTCTTTGCAGGACAGTTTCGAGGCTCAGAAAGTGGATGTCACACTGTAGAGAGTCATCATTGTTAAAACTAAGGACAACAGAATATGTTCAGTTGTATCATCCAAACAGCTCCTGCTTTGGTGTTTTTATACGTGCATTCTGCTCTTTCAGCTCGGTGGAGGGTGCGAGCTTGCAATGATGTGTGACATTATCTACGCCGGGGAGAAGGCTCAGTTTGGCCAACCAGAAATCCTGCTGGGGACCATTCCTGGTAAAGTCTAATTTATGGATTACTGTACTTTTCTATTAAACTGCACCTCTTTACTAGAGGCTGGCTTTTTGAGCAGTCGATTGTAAAGCTTTTCTGCTCATCGTGTCACTTAAGTTGTAGGTCGCGTGTGACAGTTTTCACATGACATCCTGTGTCGCGAGACACAATCTTTATGGCGCATTGGCCTGCTGTGCCGTTTTAATGAGAATCCTGCACAGAAACTCAGAGACATACTGACACACAGAGAAAGATGATGGAATTGTTTGAAAATTGAAAATTGTTTGAATTTGTGGAAGAAACTCGACAAAGTCTTGGCTTCTGGTTTTGACTTCTTCTCTTCCTTATCAGCGTGTATGACGCAATATTGTCTGAGTGGCAACACCTATTGCGTAGGAGAATACTGCAGTGGCTTTTTGCACCTTAACAAGTATAAATGACTGTATCTGTGTGATGACATCACTGAGGCGGGTTTATTGGCACCTTAACTTCTCTCTGCCTGTAGGGTCGGGTGGCACCCAGAGGCTGACACGTGCTGTGGGCAAATCCCTGGCGATGGAAATGGTACTAACAGGGGACAGGATTGGTGCTCAAGAGGCAAAGCAATCAGGTAATGACAAAGAGCACTGCAAAGGCGCTTAAGGTTCTACAAGTTTCTGCTTTATATAAACAACCTTTTCTTAAAAAGATTATTTTTAGATTGTGGTTCTGGTAGTTTTACATACAGGAAGGTACTGAATAGTTCTGCACCTGGATAACAGCAAAGCTAAACTGCACAGAGTCTGCTTTTAAACAAAATGTGACATGAATAGTGTGTCAAATAAACTGACTTCTTATATTCATTGTTCTCAACTGTGTATCTTTGTGTTCCTTAGGTTTGGTGAGTAAAGTTTATCCCGTGGACCAGCTGGTGTCTGAAGCCGTAAAATGTGGAGAGAAGATCGCTGCCAACTCCAAACTCGTGTCTGCTATGGCTAAAGAGGCTGTTAACGCAGGTATGCACATTTTAAAAGGCTAAATATTCTAAAACCGACTGAGCTGAATATGTTGGATGTTTTATCTGACTCATCTTCTGTGTGACGGCAGCTTTTGAGCTGACTCTGGCTGAGGGGAATCGCTTGGAAAAGCGCTTATTCCATGCTACATTTGCAACGGTGAGTAGAAGAACTAATATGGGATTAAGTGAAAACAGTGGAGTCAGATTTTAATAATCAATCCATGATCTACTTTTGTTTTGTTTTTTTCCCTTCCCTACAGGATGACCGTAAAGAAGGCATGACTGCCTTTGTGGAGAAGAGAAAGGCCAGTTTCCAGGACAATTAGAAAAGGAGCAGATGAAGATCACAGTCAAGAACACAAAGTTTCTGATATCAGTGGCTCACTTCCTTGTGTGTAATATGCTGAGTGATGCAAAAATCCAGGATTATTGGAATTTTCCAGCTGCTGGGACTAGGATTTGCCACCATGTGATTGCACAAGAGTGTCTTTCTCACTGAAGCCCCATCTGATGAGGATCAGCATCAAAATCAAATGGAGTCTGGGTGCAAGGGGGTTGAATGTGAATATGATTTGATCTCTGTGATTATAGTCAGTGTGTAGCAGGTGGTGTAGGGCATGTGACATGTACTGACTTTGCCTTTTCATTTGTCAAACATTTCTATTTTGTAGGCAAGTTATTCTGTACATTTTACAAATAAACCCTGGGAGTGGCAAGAAGACATGGGAAGACTTTATTGATTATTCACTTGTAAACATATTAGTTTATTCCATTAAACATTTTTCATATTTTACACATTATATTTTTCCAATTTCATATACATTGTGTTTGGTTATTGGCAAGCAGGGGCTGATTTGTAACATGCTAATAAAGCACATGCTTACCAGCTGCTTTGTTAGGTACGCAGGTTAAAAATATCTCATCAACCAGTCACGTGACAGCAACCCAGTGCCTTCAGGCAAGAGAGGACCTGCTGAAGCTCAAACTGAGCAGCGCACCTATATTGGAAATTTTGCATTTCTCAGAGATTGATTTTTTTTTTTTTCTTTAGAGGAGGTTACAGGAACTAAGCAGCAGTTTTTGTTTGTTACAAATTTGAGCGTTCATATCAAACCTTGAAGAAGATTGGCCGCAGTAGCAGGACACCACTCCCCATTTCCATCCCTTTTAGGACCACAGTATACTGGTCTTCTGATGGCTGCTTCCAGTAGGATAACACTCAGATCCTATCAAACTGGTTTCTTGAAAATAACCTTGAATTTACTGTAGTCAAATCACTTCCATAGGCACTAGATCTCAATCCACTACAGCACCATTGGGATGTGGTGGAACAGGAGAGTCACATCATGTGAATGTGGCCTTCAGACCGCTAGGTGGCCCTCTTGCGCTGTAAACAAGTGCAGGGAAACGCAACATGGCCAGTAAGTCCTCTGGTCGGCCCACAGGACAGAGAGACACACCGAGCTGGACAAGTAAGGTCAAATTCACAGCTATGAAGTCACTAAAATACAACTCTGGGTTTTATATATTCGATAAGATCAACCTGACGGAAAATGTAACACTATATCTTTGCTCAAAATAAATTGTGCCGTTTGCATCGGGCTTGGGATAAAGTGTCAGCTGTCTTTTTTTCTTCTTAAATTACTAGCTCTGTGCCATACTCCCAAATGTTTTGATGATTGATACCAAGTAGATACCCGACCAGTATTTCTGATGCGCGGTGATATGTTTAACCTATAAAGGGAGCTTATAAAGGAAAAGGAGTGTGTCGTGATTTATGAGATGAATCATCAGTGTGCCAAATTTTGGACACATTTTAATAACCACTAAACTGTGATTTTAACTTTCCACAACAATAACCCAACAAAACACACCTTTCATTTTATAACTTTTTTTAGAACATCCAAATGTTAGGGGTTTTTATAGAACTTTAAATGTGCTACAGGTTATAAATAAAACAGATGGGAGAGTCAGCACAATACAGTTCAGACATTTTTTCATAGAGCATGTTTTTTCTTCATTTCCATCAAAGGAAATAAAAAATTAACACACTTATATACAGAACTTAGATGATAAGGAAAAATGTACCGATCATATACAGTATGAGTCCAATACTAGCGTTGGTATCGATATTATTGATATTTGGATGCTCTTGCCACCTCTGTAAATTACTGATAAGCACTAAAAATCTCAGCAGCAAGCACGCAAGTTAAAGTTAAAAAACAACTATAAAAAACTATAGATAAGTTAAGAGTTACGTTAAGAGTTCCCCATCACATATTGAGTGAGGATCTTCGGGGCCACATAAACCCACAATTTTCACTTCAAAGAAAACACCAGAACAAATTTGGTTAGTGTGCACTTTCTTTTGCCGCTCCAGTCATCAGGAGGCACCTTCTTTCTCTCTGATCTTCACACGGCGGTGCCCCATATCTCCACAAGTCCGTGTCCTAATTGATTTTTTTTATTCAATATTCCCCTGGAGCTTGCTTTCTTGTCAGCCCCTTGAAACAAACCTTTAAAAAGGAGAGGGGGGTGAAAAAAACTGGTCTCTTCTCTCCGCGGGGAAGCACAAAAGTCCGCAGAGAGGGCCCGAAAAGAAACCTCTCTTTGAGGCTACCGAAAGGTCAAAATAATAAATGTAGACTCAATTGAGGCTCTTCGCTGACAAAGGAAGCAAAACGTTACATTTTGGCAGCGTGGACCCTCGTAGCGTGATAAACTCATTTAAAGAAGCCGGAATAAAGAGAGAGCAGCGTGGGTCCGGGGAGGGTGAAGGGGCTCTCAAGTCTGGCAGACAGGCCTGACTCCCGCAAAGGGCCTTTTCTCCTGCTCAGCAGCCCCCCAAAAACTCTTATCTTTCTAAACAGCAGTGCAGCAGTGCCAGTCATGCCCGGATATCTCCGCTTTTATGTCCGCGTTATAATCCGTTTGCATGCATTTAAATTCAGGCAGCTGCATTTAGTAAGCAAAGCAATATTTTCTCATGAGAAGTTACATACAAACTTAAAAAGTAAGGTTATAGCTAGTTAACGAAAGCAAAACATACGGATTTATATAGTCCTTTACTCGGATATAAGATAAATGCAGATCGTGGATATTCGTTTGCAAATTAAATGCGAGCAATAAAGCGCCAGTATTTCTTTGGTGCATTATTACCGGCATCTGCAAATTCAGTGTAAAAGCCCACAAGCCTGCAACTGTGACTTTACTTTTAAAAAAGCCTTTTTATATGCAGATCAGCACCGGGCTGGCTCTGCGGTCATGGAAAGGATTCCTCGGCATCTTTTTTTTCTTGTCATCCAGCTGAGAGCATTTCTGGCCCAGATGAAACAAGCCGGGTGGAGTGTGGTTTTCATCGTACAAATATTTTCATTATCTCACATTCTTGGCGTCACAGATCGGGTCGGAATAACACGTTCACCGGTGTCTGCTTTGAATTATGCCCACCCAAGGGTGTCAGAAACAACACGGACCTAAGATTAATTACACCAGACTACAGGCGAACAACGCGACCCTGCTTTATAGATTCACATAAGCACAGTGTGGTTAGATAACTTTTACTAACTGAAGCAAAAAGAAAACACAAACTATTTATAAGCTTATTTAGTATTCGTTTAAGCCACATTAGTATTTTATGCTATTATTTATTTGTTCCAAAAACTGGGCTTTCGGATTTTTGAGACTGTATTTAAAGTTTAAGAAAAGTGAGCTAACCAATCAGATTCATCAGTTTTAGCACGTGATCCGTTTACGTTCATCTAAGGAAGACTGTCAAGATAGTTGTTGCTAAAGCTACTAAACCCTTTATCCGACAAACCAACAACGAAAAATAATAAGAGTTTGAATCTTAGCTTGACGACTGAATCTTCCGCCATAGCAGTTAACATTTACAACTTTAAAGTTTTTTTTTCTTCCTAAATTGGTAATTTTATGTTTCTAGCATGTCACAAACGAAGACGGAAGTTGGCTACAGGCACTACTCTCGCGTCGCTTGAGCCGTCTCCGATTCTCCGTGTTTTGAGGCTGCAGGAATGGTCGTGCTAAGAGGAATCCCCTCTGTTTTATCACCTGAACTTCTGTATGCTCTCGCTAAAATGGGCCACGGGGATGAACTGGGTATGATAATTACACGCATACAGAGCTGCTAACAGCAGTGACCTGTATACCCTGCTTGTAGGCATGCTGCACACTGCTGTGCTAATCTGAGTTTATGTCAACACCACGTAAAAAGGATCATTAACCTGTAGCTACACGGCACAGTTACAGAGATTTTACTCACTCTTCATGAAGTCACTCACTCGTTTAATTATTTTCAGTGCTTGCTGATGCTAATTTCCCAGCATCTTCTATTTGTGCATGTGGCCCAAAGGAGATAAGGGCTGATGGTATGTAAATACACCTGCCTATAAAAGAAAAATGTGTGTGTGTGTCCTTCAAGTTTAGCTTTCAGACTGTGTCTAACCTTAATGCAGGGTTGGGGATCCCACGGCTTATGGAGGCTGTTTTGAAGCTTTTGCCCCTGGACACCTATGTCCCCTCTCCGGTACTGAGCTAAAGCATCTGCATAGACATTCTGTCGTTTTTGTGCCTGACTGTTTAATATTTAGTTCATATAATGTAAAATCTGTGCTGCATGCTTTCACAGGCTGCAGTTATGGATCTAGTAGATAGTGACAAGCAGAGAGGTTTAGCTGTGCCTGTGTGGGACACCTACGAACAGCTCTTGAGCCAGGCAGGCTCTCAGGTAAGACAACCCCTTCACCCTGTTATTAAGTGAAACAAAATGAGTGTGTGTTCATTTGATTTGTGACTCTCTGTGTGCTGATTTCTGTTTATATACAGGTTTCTCTTGAGAAGGTGGAAAGGTTTGCTTTCTATGAACGAGCCAAGAAGGCCTACGCTGTTGTGGCAACAGGGTTGGTGTATTTTCTCTGCCTTCATTTGAGTCTAGGTTCAGCTAGATTGAGTTGCATTGCTAAAAGTGCACTTCTGTGTTTCAAAATCAAGTGTAGAAATGGTTCCGTTTGTAAAAAAAGAAAGAAAAAGATGTTTCATGCTAGAAATCGTTCTCATGATTTATCTGTCAGTTGTTGTTGTTTTTCTTTTTGTTTTTTTTTTTCATATATTAGCAAACCTACAGCATCATGAATCAAGAAGTGTCGCATCTCGATAATCAGACCGTTGCACTGATTTTAATCGCTTCATTGTCATGAACAAATCTGGATATCATTGCAGAGGCCTGGAGCTAGTTTAATTATGGAGATTATGGTCTGCACGCTTTTTTTTTTTACATTGTGTCTTTATGATTTTCCTCAGGGAGACAGCTCTGTATGGTAACCTGATACTGAAGAAGGGGGTCATTCCTGCTGAGCAGCTACAGTGACACACACACACACACACACACACACACACACACACACACACACACACACACACACACACATTTGATGATTTCAGCTTTTAATTTCTGTTGTTCTGTGATATTAGGCACTAATTGAATTCTTTACAGTCAAAATCATCATATTTTGTGAATTCAGATGCATTTATTTCAAATCTGTATTTAAAGCAGTGATTACAATCTATATTTTTATAACTGATTTCTGCATTATATGTTTATATCAATAAATAAATGAAACACAGTCTCTGATGGGAGTGTTTACAGTATCTTTATCATCAAGATGCATATGAGCGACACAGATTTAGGTGTTCTTGCTTAGTGAAGCTTTAAGGCAGTGTAATTGAATCAAATGAAGCTCTTGATTATTTTCTTTTTACTCAGTTGCAGCTACATGAACTTAAATGATAAAGAGCTGAGTTGTTGGAAGATCAGCGATGGTAGATCATATCCAAATCTTCCTCTGGCTCAGTGTGCTTCTGAGGTGGAAAATTGACAGGATAGGCAGCTCTGATGTTGTCCTGGTGAAAGACCGGCCTGACTGGTTCTTTGTGGTACACAGCATCCATGTCCTCCTCAGGCTCAAGGTGAACCCTGGCCTGAATTTTAACCGCCATCTGAGGTATCACCGGCTCAGCCTGGACAACAGGGGGGACATCCAAGTTTTGGTTTCGACCTCGGAGGAGATTACCCGTTGAGGGATGGTACAGCTCATCCAAGTCTTCCTCAGCCTTCAGATATTTTTTCTCCTGTCCGCTGCCTCTCATACTCTTCCAGATCTTCATGTTGGGGTCAATATCATAGTGGGTCCTATCCATATCCTCAGGAGGCTCAACTGCCACTGCCCAGGCTGGCCTACCTCTCTCATCTATAGACCTGAAATGAGTATCACACACCATTTGTTTTTATCAGCCTAAGCAAACATGAGAACCTTTCTTTTAGTTTAAGAAACTTCAACTCACATGACAGCTTTCTGGAAGACTTCATCTGAAAGTTTATTCTGAGAGAAGAGCACAAATAATACAGGATTACGATTCAAATAAATACTATTAACCATAAAAACATGTTTAAAAGTAACAGTAAAGCTGATTTATTTCAATGTAATATAAGACTGGAAGTAATATATACATACCCAAGGCTTTGCTGTGATGCCAAGTATCAGCGAAACACAGACGATTAGAGAAATCCTACCAGGGGAACCAATTTAGGTTAATTGCTAGAGTTCTACTTCATAAACACAGATCCCTGTCAACTTACAAAACAACTCATCTAATCTATAAGCATTAAAAACCAGCTAAATCTTTGAAGAGATTTCTCACCTGAACATGGTGCGTCTTCGTGTTGGCAGCTCAGTGTTTGGAACAAGATTGCCTTTTGATCACCTGCTACTGAAACGAAGGACCAAAGATCTATCTATAAACCTGCTGTCCCGACCTTTGTATCCTCCAAGTGCAGGCTGTAAGTAACTTATCATTTCTAATCTCGCCTGTGTTTTGTGTTGGTGCCATTAAAATTCCTCTTTCTGTCAAAGTGTCAAAGTACACTCCACGTAACTGAGCAGAACATGTCAAATATAAAATGTCTTTCTTATTTATATCATCCTGTATTTTTCTTTGTTTTAATTTATCACAGTTATGCAAACACAGCTAAAATATGTAATAAATATACAATATTGTAATTACATTTGATGCAATTATCTCCCTTATCAAGGCTGTAAAGTTCCTTGTCTTTATTACTGAGAGTAAGAGATAAACTTTATTATCATGCAGCAGTAGTTTCTCCAAGCTCTATACGACGACGGTATCTAACCTCAGTAACTATTGTATACATGGCTGTATATATGTCAGCTAGTTAGCAGCAAGCACCAGTGGATTATCCTTATTTTCTGTGCTTGGTTACATTTGCAGCATTGTATTAAACTGCAGTTTTCTATCTGAACATCATATCTTCACTGGTGATGAGTTCGGAGCTCATCTGCTGTCATTGTGTGCAGAAAGACGGTAACAAATCACACACATATTCATCTATAAAATCATTCTCCGTGAACTGCAAGCACATTTTACCACTGGTAGTTTTAACTCAATACACTCACACAGTTGCACACTGCATTTCCCACAGAGTTTGGTTTTCCTGCTCTCTGTTTTAATAATCTTTTTATTACATATTTTCACCGTTTCTCTCTCATTGGGTTTAATGCCCTGCTGTGTATCACAACTGTGTAACATCAGGAATTGTTCACTGAAATATCTCAACTATTCTGAGAACTGTCATGAAGTGCTGTGAAGATATTTATGATCCTCTGCTGATGAAGCCTAATGACTAGCACCACCACCAGGTCGACATGTAGTTTTGATTGAAATGTCTCCACAGTGGCATGCACTGCCATAAAATCTGATAATCTTTGCAATGATGTGATCCCTTTCCTGACATTTGCTGTAAGGAGATCAGGTTCTATTTGAGTTTGTCCAATATTTTGGTTTATTCCTGTAAAACAATGACATCCACCTCATGCTAAGCCCTGTTTTGTGTTCATCTCATATATTACATTGGTAAGTATACAGTAATTAGGGTACAACGAGACTCTTGAGCATTCTGCATGTCTTTCAAATAATTATTCTTACACACATATAGACCTGATTTACTTGTCTGTCCTTTTTTGTGTTCAACTTACAGGCATGAGAGTCAAAGTGCGATGAGTTGATTTTCTGGTCTGATATCACGCCAATAATGCATCTATAAATGTGCAGATAAATTATTGTATTCTCATTCATCGGTTGAACTTAATTAGCTCAGATTTGTTCTCATATTGAAAACATTCTGCGTGCTATAAACATTCCCCTTCTATTAGGGATTATGAATTTAAGATTTCAGCTACGTCACTTAGGCTGACTGTAAATAAGAAGGACAGGCAACCTAATCCTAAGATTAGTTTGTAAGCTCAAAAAACACAGTGGCTTGAGCTCAGCTTCCATCTTTTGAGAAAAATCTTAAGATAAGAGACCTCATCTTCCTTTTTCCTTAGAATTCCTCTATTGTTATCTGCCTGGGTGCAAAACATCTGTAGATGATGTACAGCTGCTAAGATCATGCATGAATTTTGAATAAACTGAGGGGACGTGTTTCCTGCATCCCCTAAAAATCTACACTTACTTACTTATAGGCTATAAGATACAATAATACACAATAGCCTTTTTGAGTACGTGTATATCACTGCAGGACCCACAATCCAAATACTGGTCCTACTTTAAATCCTAAGTGTGGATTTTACATTACACATATGTAAAATCAAGTTTGACATATGTATAATGTTACAGTGCCACAAAGCAAAAAAAATGCACACACTTCCCATACCAGGCTTACTTTCATGAGAACTTACCCAGATTCAGACGGAGTCCTATTGTGTACAGCTTTAATCATTTAAACAGACTAATCACCCTTCACATGCACATCCATGTGGACAGATTGGAGGCAGATGATAGGTCTGTGATCTTAGTGCCAGGCACCACAGATACTGAATCATCTACGAGTTTGTCAGCTCTTCATGCCAACATCTTATCATACTGCAAAACTGCGTCGGAATAAAACATTCATTCATTCATTCATGTTTGATGCACAGACTGAGTTGTTTACATTACAACTCAATTCTGAATTGCTGCTTTCTGATATGCAAACTCTGGGATTTATGTTAAACATCTGTAAGTTGAAGCACACAACCATAATTTTCCTCAATCAGCCTACCCATGAGGAATATAAGTTAATTTCAGCTCAGTGTTTTAGCATTTCTGGCAGTGCCTCCGTCAAACTGCTGTCGTGTCTCTTCGCTAAATGTCTTTCACTGTTCATCATGGCAGCAGGGGACCCATTAAGTTAACCCAAGTTAATATTTTCTCATGCCAACAGGATTCAGCGTAATGTACAGGAGCTGTAAGATACAACACAAACTTCCTGTTCGGTTTAGGGGACGGCTCCAGCATGTCGGCAGTCTCGATCAGATTCATGTGTCCAATATTACGAGACAGTCTGGCTTGACTCGCCCCCGCTGAGTGGTCTGCTTCTTTACTAAAACACGCCTTAAGCAAGCAAATACCAGACATCTTTGGAGGCACTTATTGTAAATCTGCCTTTAAAAATAGTTTAAAACCTCCTAAAATAAACTAAACAGGAAGAAATGACTGCTCTAACCGTATGCTGAAAAACATTATGCTGTTGTGTTAAAGAGAAATCTACTAAAGTGAAGGTAAGTCATTAAGAAGGCACTCTTTTCCTACTGTTGTCTTTTGACAAAAAACAAAGCCACATTATGTTTGCACCAACAAGTTGATTTCCAAAGAGATATTAACCAAAATCTGTCCTATCACAGCATGGTGGAAAAGGTGTTCTGAAAAAATTAAGGAAACATATCAAGAAGAAGACAAAAGGAGACGTGGCAGGCCTACAAAAAAAATGTCTACGGCAGATAAAAACATGGTGCAGGCTCTGTCATGTTTTGGGGCTGCATCTCAGCCAGTGGTGTTGCGGATGTTTCCAAAATTGATTGAATTATGAACACAGAAAAGGGCCATCAGATTTTGATCTACCATGCAATATCATCTGGAAAGAATCTGATTGGCAACTGCTTTGTTTTTCAGCATAACAATGATCCCAAACAAACTGCCAATGCAGTAAAAGTATACCTGAATAGAAAAGCGCACAGTGGAACACACAGTCATGGATTGGCCTCCCCAGAGCCTGGACATTAACATTTGAATGTCCTTCACTAAGCCTGAAGAACCATCCATGTTAACAAACGGCCAAAAGGCCAAAAGACCTCTCGTAGAACGTTCAGGCTGTTTTTAGGAATAAATGTGGTGGTACCAAATATTCACTTTCAAGCTGGATAGATTTGTAAAGAACCCTCCTTAGTATGACATTCTGGCGTGCCAGCTTTAGTGTCTACATATGCATGTTAGAGTAAATAGCATTTTTCATGGTCCAAGCTAAACAAAAATAAATAATGATGACAGATCTTTGGACAGTACAGCAGATAAAGATATTTTATCATTTTTGGATACTAAATGTGAAGCTACTAGGAGATGGTCTAACTTAGCATGAAGACTAAAGAGAGAGTAAAACCACCTACTTGGTTTTTCCTTGTTAATACACAAACTGTTTTACTTAGAACAACTTTAAGTATGCATGCTATGATAACCTAGCTGTACTCATCTGGACCATGGTGCTAATAAGAATTTACTATTCCTTTAGATAAGATCTGGTCTTTGCAAAGATAAACATGAAAGAGATTGTGATTTTCAGTATATATCGACCATTTGTAAATAGCGGACATTACTCATGTATAGTTTTGGGCTTTTTATGGGCATGTTTGGGCATGTTTATGATCAGACATTAAGGCCTGCACATGTGATCTCATAGAAACCACACCTTAAGACATCCAAAGGAGTCTTGAAGGTGAGCTCTGATGAATATAGTGCGATGCAGCTCTTATCCATCTGCCCCTTATTCCCTGCACATACACATCATCAAACATTTCTACATGAAACGCAGAGGCAACCAGCAATGGACCAACCACAGGACAGTGCTCTCTGAACTTCTAACAGTCCCGCAGGTTTAAAAATAATCTGATCCTTTGTATGAGTAAGTGGTGCATCACTCAACCCATCTAGGTGCTGCAGTGCTTTTAATCTGTGTTTTGAACTGAAGTTTACAATCAGTGGGATTAGCTGAAAAGTTAAGGGAGGTTGTTTTTCAGAGCAACACTTAATGTAAATCTGTGTGGCAAAAATGTGTGAGCTTTGAATTATATGCATATATTTCTAAGTCATTTATTTTAAAACATGCAAAAAGAATTATGCAATTAAAAGGAATAGTAGCTAAAAGAAAACCCAACTACCTTTGTAAAACAACAAACTATCAGCAGCAACTGAGGCTAATTTTCTTACAGACTAACTAATTCCATGTGCTTTTCATGCTGATGCATAATAAGATATCCAGTGTGGAATATTTTGACCCTATCAAAATGAATTTTTATTGGTATTCTCTGATAGTGAACTCTCAGGGTTGCTCCCCTGCATTTCATTCTGTAACCACTTTCTTTCTCTTCATGCTCAAAGAAAAGCAGTTATTATTCAGTAAAACCAGAAGTCTCATCGAAATTGTGAAATCCACATCATTTTTCATTTTGATAAAATAATAACTGCACATAACCTTGTACTTTACCTGCATTTGTGCAATAAAGAACTTCATGTTGAAGCAAAACCAGCATAAAAGATGTTTAAATGCTGGTTTCATCTGCCAAGCGCATGATTGTTTTCCTCTTCCTGTCACTCAGAGATGTATTAATGTGCGAGAATGTGAATGACAAGCATTTAAGTAAATGTAAAAGCAACAGTGAAGACCAGAGCGAATGGGAGTTGTCAGTAAGCAAAGGCTGATGCCAATAAACTG